AGTATGATGAACATCACACCATAAATGCTGTCATTTTATGATGTTTAAAATTATAACCCGATCGTAAACTGTTGAGTCAATCTCGTTGTGGCCTGCATGAAAAATTTTATCTACGCACATTGAATTGAGGCAAGCTTCCATTTGAAGATTGTGGCATTTCTCGTTCTCGTCCTTTGTATAGTTGTCTTAATTGCCATGATACTATACTTGCATTATTTTCAGAGATCCCTTTACTGGGCGAGCATACCTGCTAGTGACTGAAGGCTCAGGAACGTCCTATGATATTGGTTCACCTGACAATTCCAGATAATGCTCCCACCATACTAGACACTCTCAGAGGGCTACTTATAGGTGGGGTAGCTGACTCATTTTTATGGTTCTATATCATACGACCTCCCAATTTAACGGCCATATTACTCTATCACAGGTCCTCAGCAGAGAGAACGAGAGCTATGTTTAGGGCCAGTATTGGAAAACTGAGTTGGGCTACAGGATGGATCCAGTGAGAATCAGACTCTGGGATGAAGGGTGGGAGACCGCATCCACTCTACGTAGTAAGACATTTGAGTTTAGGCAGACTCAGTGTGGGTTAATATCCATAATCGCTTAGTGACGTTTAGTGAAGGCTCAAAATTCTTCCGATACTCAGTGCTAGTACTAGTACCTACTGCAGTTATTCTGTAGTAGGGCCAAATCACCTGCAGGACCTAGTCTCTTAACCTGACCAACCACGTCACGTACGTTGGTAATTAAATGCTGGGGACAAAGGGTGATAGGACAAGAATGGCTAAGGCTGAGTAGAAAGAGGGGTAGAATCTGTTGAAGCCCAGTTTGAAATGAGATATTAGAGTGGTGGGACATGCTGCTTCCGAGTGACATAGCGAGACAAGCGCACCGAAAAATATAACCGAAACAGACGCTGTCTGTTCACAGTCTAACCCAGTACATCAATAGCACGAGCTTTGGCAACCTTGATCATTTCCCCTTGTGCGTGGGGTCGCCAACGTAGCCTGATGAATAAGAATGTTATTAATGGCTAGAATCTGATAGGGCCAAAAGGGAGTGCTTTTCTGGCGTCATTATCTCATGACCCCTATTGATCTGCAAAATTATCGATGTAGATGCAGAAGGCTGAAGATGGTTGCTTTGGTGGGGTTGTCTCTGTATGCATGTATATCTTGATGTGCAGCTTATATAGGCCTCACTACTCCGTATATACTTAGAAGTATTTTTTTTTTGTTTTGTTGAGTGTTTTTGATGTTATTGCTTCTCGTTTCCGCGTCCCGTTCATCTAACATACGCACTGGTCTCGCCTGACTTGATATTGATCTGCTGTCTTTTTGGTGGGGGGTGGGAAGGGGGAGATATACCCAATGACGTAGAAGATACATTAGTCTGAATCCTAGTAAATTTGAGAGAAGCAAATGCTTAAGAGAATAAAGGAACTTGTTTAGCAAAAGTAGGCTGTGGCTTGTAAAATTTGGGTATGTACGTCATGTGTATCTGCTGAAGGGCACACGAAGTTATGGGATTCACAATTCTCCCTTGTTCGGGGGTTCTCATAAAGTTGATAGCCATTCGTCCGAGTCATAAGCACCAGAAACAGCGTGGGAAAGTTGTCTTTTGCAATCCTTGTGAGAGATATATCTTTTACCCCGCTGCTAGCGGTGAACTTACTTACACAGGAAATCATCGTGACCGATTCTGTTTGGGTCAGTAGAGGTTCCTGACCGATCGACAAATTCCCATGCGCTGTATCTATGTATGAAAATCTGGCATAGCCGTAGGTAGTACCTACCGGACGTACGAGTATATAGTATGTGTGCCAGGTGTATAATCGAAACTGCTGACCTACTGAAAGATCATTCATCATTGTTGAAGGGGGAAGATGTAACAGTACGGTACATACATTCAGTTTACCCATCAGTACATGCGTGGAATGTACCTACCTAGGGAAGTCTCCACTTCTACCGCGCTTTTTTTCCCGACATCGGGCGACTGCGGATCTAATCTAAGCGTTCATCATCCCACTTGCAGTAAACACCGAAAATCTTGCTCAAGCCAACTGCGGGGCCCTACGCCTGGTAGTATTCTCAGTGGCCTGGGCCTCGGACTCTTGGATATTACCGACCTTACGCGATTGTTGCTACTCCTAATCATACCTACTATCCCGATACTACATTAAATGTGAACTCTGCACGGAGTACCTTCTTTACTGTATACAGTGTGCCGGTGGATCCTCGCGTGGCGTGTTCCGGCTGAGGGAGCTTCATCGGTGCTTGGTTGTAATTCAGTATTCGGAGAAAGGGCTAGCTAAATAAATGAGAACAACAATAACAGTACCATATGACAAGATGGTACCCTCAAAAATACCCGCCGCATCTGCAATTTATACACGAGAACAGGAGTATCTGAGTATACTCAGGGTATGTAGTAGGTAGATGCTACTGACACTCCGTACCTGCATTACACAATCGCAATGATATATAAAATGAGAAAAGAGGAAACGAAGGGGGGTGAACTACATGTTAGTTTTCCCACGGGCTCTTCCTTTTAATCCTCTTGAATGTTTTGTACTCTGTAGTGATTTACCTTCTTCTCATTTCCTTTTTCTTCACCCCTAAAAAGAAAGAAAGAAAACAACCAGCGACGATTGAGCTGGTGGAGTCAGACACCACTCATACTGCCATTCCTGGTCCACTGTCAGTAGAGCCACTGCGAGGTGCTTTGGGGTTTCCTGTCCAAAAAAAAAAAAAAACCGTCTTTCTGGATCCACTGCATGGAAGCTAATCTAGTAGTCTTGGTTTATTTTATTTTATTTTATTTTATTTCCCCCCGTCTTTTTTAATTTATTTAATTTATTATTATTATTATTATTATTATTTTATTTTGATTTTTGCCTTTTTTTTTTCGGTTCCAAGTCAAATATTTAGAACGGTGGCCCCCATACCATCAATGCCCATACATATAAGCTACTCTTCCCTCCCGTTGTTCCTCGTGGACCTTGAACTCCTTCTCTCATTCCAGCCTTTTACCTGCCGTCTGTTTTGACCCGTATCGTTTCTTTCCTCTCGCTTATTGATCTTCTTCTTACCATCTCGATTCAAATCAATCCTCATCCATGGAGCCGGTGGAAAGGAAGCTAGAGATTGGCGCCCGTATCTATCCTAAGATGCCCCTCACGCAACAGCATTCTTCTGGAGAGCCACCCCGCTTGAAAGCTACACCGAAGGACGAACTCCACGATCTCCTCTGTGTGGGTTTTGGACCGGCTTCTCTGGCTATCGCAATTGCTCTTCACGATGCCTTGGATCCATGCTTGAACAAGGCCGCTTCCAATTCCAATTGGCAGCCCAAGGTCTGCTTCCTGGAGCGACAGAAACAATTCGCATGGCACTCGGGTATGCTGGTGCCCGGCTCAAAGATGCAGATTTCCTTCATCAAGGATCTGGCAACCATGCGGGATCCACGCAGCAGCTTTACTTTCCTCAACTATCTTCACCAGAAAGACCGCCTGATTCACTTCACCAACCTGAGCACCTTCCTCCCGGCTCGGATGGAGTTTGAAGATTATATGCGGTGGTGTGCGCAGAGATTCGCACATGTGGTGAACTACGGCGAAGAAGTTATCGAAGTGATCCCTGGCAAGACAAACCCGAGTAGCACGCTGGTGGACTTCTTCACGGTCAAATCTCGGAACTTAGAAACGGGCGAGATCTCTGCCAGGATGGCACGCAAAGTTGTTGTTGCTATTGGTGGTACTGCGAAGCTGCCCAAGGAGCTACCCCAGGACCCAAGGATTATGCACTCGTCCAAGTACTGTACTACTTTGCCCGCCATGCTAAAGGACAGCCAAGAGGCCTACAACATTGCTGTATTGGGCAGCGGTCAAAGTGCCGCAGAGATCTTCCACGACCTCCAAAAACGCTACCCGAACTCGAAGACGACGCTGATTATGCGAGACACTGCGATGCGACCCAGTGATGATTCACCATTGTAAGTGGATGCTTTGGTGCTCCTCTCTACAACAACAGCAATGATAACTAATATGGAGAATATAGTGTCAACGAAGTCTTCAACCCCGAACGAGTCGATAAGTTCTTCGGCCTTTCCCCTGCCGAACGCCAGCGCTCCCTCACTGCTGACAAGGCAACCAACTATAGCGTCGTCCGACTTGAATTAATCGAGCAGATCTTCAATGACATGTACCTACAGAGGGTCCAAAATCCCGATGAGACACAATGGCAACATCGCGTCCTCCCTGGCCGCAAGATCACCCGAGTTGAGCATTACGGACCGCATAGGCGGATGCGGCTTCATGTTCGGGCCGTGAAAGACGAGAAGGACAGCCTTGTTGGCAACGGCAAGGAAACATTGGAGGTGGACGCACTTATGGTGGCTACAGGCTACAACCGCAATGCGCACGAGCAACTACTGAAGAGCTTACAGCACCTGCGCCCCGCGGGCCAGGAAGCCTGGACCCCCAACAGGGAATACCGTGTTGAGATGGACCCAAGCAAGGTTAACGCGCAGGCTGGAATCTGGCTACAAGGTTGCAACGAGCAAACGCATGGACTGAGTGACAGTCTGTTGTCCATCTTAGCGTCACGCAGTGGCGAGATGGTGAACTCGATCTTTAGAGGCGAGTTTGCGGGAACGGCGGTGCCGGACACCACTATCCGCGCTATGCTGTAAAGGGCGACTTAAAATAAGAACCTTACAAGGGTCTGTTAAGTCGAAGATCTTTTGGGTCCGCTTCATTTGCGCGTTTTGGGCGCTAAAGAAGATTGTTCCCTAAAGAAAGGATGAGCCGAGGATCGACAGCAGGGACAAAATGAGAGTCAAAAAAAAAAAAAAAAAAAAAAAAAAAAAAAAAAAAAAAAAAAAAAAAAAAAAAAAAAAAAAAAAAAAAAAAAAAAAGAAAAAAAGGGAACGCAAGAAAAGGAAACATACCAGAACAAAATCACACTGGTACATGATATTTTATTTGTTGGATACCTGTTCTACTATGCATAGACTATATTTTACACTATACTCATTTATATTCTTGTTTGACTATGTAGCTATGAATGATTTTGCAAGAAATACACAAAGGTTGAAGCAAAACGCAAGAGCATCAATTGACGAGTTCACCGCTCTCATGGCAACAAGATTGATCCCAACTCGAATTCTGCATGGGGATGCCTGAACAGTGGATTAGCCACAAAGCTACATCCTACCCAGACCCGCTGGTGCCCGGCTTATTGGTCGCTGTTTGATATTCATTACAGCACAGAATACTAAAAAATGTCCGGAACTCGGAAGAGAGGATGACGAGAAGATACAAAAATTTACAGGATTATTAATATTTGAGAGGAAAAGTTTGTAGAAAGAGACCGTCCAGTTTATAAAATGAAAACAACAAACAGAAAAGAAGAATTCGAAAGGAAGAGAAGAAGGAGGGAATGAGAAAGAAAAAAAAAAAAAAAGGAAAGGACATCAATTGGTTGAAGTGGGCATTTTAATGATGACGCCAGATAATCTGATCAGATAAAAATTTTTTCGTTATCAGATGGCGCCATTCCACAAATACGAATCAGTTCCATCACCTGGAAATTAATAAAGACCACTGACCACAACTGAGGCTGGCGCGCCTCCGGCTCTTTTCTCCCACGTCTTTATTTGGCTTCGGCCGATGCCAAGGAGCCACCCACCGGATAAGACGAGCCAGAGGAATTCGGACCCACTGATTGATTACGAGTGATGACTGAACCGTGGGGTGGGGGGTTTTGTGTTTTGATTTTTTCCCCCCCTTCCTTTTCCTTCTGTGCGATGGACCTGCAGAAGTGTTAGTTATCCCTTTCGTTTACAAATTACACTTAACCCCTTCCCTAAAATATAAATACAATCCATATTCTCTGTAGCTCCTGTCCCGTATCGAAATTATGGCATCGATTCAATTAGTCACTCGCCCTCTACAAATTAGCTTCATGTAAAAAGCAGATTCGCTTCTTTTGACTCGGTTTTTTTTTTTTAAGGTCTTTTGCACGGGGAATACACCCTAACTGCTTGATTAAGTAACCGATTGATTATTGATTGATAATTTGATGAGGATCCTCAGTTTCCACCTACCATGCCTCCAGACCCATCCTCTTCCTCCAACCATTCTTGACCCGAGACTAAATCACTCAATCATTCGATCGTTTATGGAAACGTGAGGAAATTTACAGACCATCATGCCACCCACACCTGCCTCGGAGAACATAGCCTGTCTCAGATATTCCGACGATGATCATGTTTTCCCTATGTACTCCGTAATGGGGGTGTACTTGGACAAGTCGGCCCAAAGCGACAATGCTGATCATATCCTCGTTATAGACAAGAGTTTCCAGCATTGTTTCACTCTGGGGAAAGGGCCTGCCTGCAAGACTAAACTCGGTCTCTTATCCTTCTCTCTCTCTTGCTAGGCGTTATATAATTGCTTATTCTTCTTGTTTTTATCTCTATCATTATTGTTGTTGTTGTTGTTGTCGTCTTTTTTTTTTTTTTTTTTTTTTTTTTTTTTTTTTTTTTTTTTTTTTTTTTTTTTTTTTTTTTTTTTTTTCTTTTTTTTTTTTTTTTTTTTTTTTTTTTTTTTTTTTTTTTTTTTTTTTTTTTTTTTTAATACTCATCCTTCTTCACTTCTTCCCCTTCCGCTTGTTTTGCTGCAGGTCTCTCTTGGTCACAGCCCAGTAGATGGCTAGCTCCTTGGCTGCGCGGTTGACTAGTAGCTACGGAGTATGCGCATATTCCAGACCAGCCCATCTACAACTCCGACAGGGATGATCATAGGCAGAGTAATGTCAGGTACGGTCAGGGACTACGCTACGACGGAGTAGTAAGGCTGGTTAGTGGTGACGTTTTCAGGTGAGTTGATTACAAGGCCTTGGTACTTGGTTTTGGGTCGTAGTTCCAAACCATGGATAAAGCGCATCAGATAAGACAACATCAGCATAGAACTTCATCTAATCAATCTAAGCGAGCAGCAAGCCAGACCCAGAATATCCTCGCAGACCGGTAAACGGTATAGTACCAAGTGTTAACGACCAAAGAACAATGGGAATCAGATAAAAATTTTCCGTTTTAGAACCTCCTGCCGAGATAAGATCTTAGTGCGACAAATTGACTTCGCGCTAAAGCTGGGTTTTTCTTGCGACATCGGATGTTTCGGCTCTTTGTATATTCGTATGGTATGTATACGTACGGACAGGTATGGTTGAAATGAACCTTGGAAAGATATGGGACTTAACCCTATCTGGGACCCACTGGTAACTGGTACCTCAGGCTCGACATCGTTGGTCTGATATTTCCTGCCGAATAATTGGGCGCCTCAGGGCTTAGGAGGCAGAAGTAAGAGCGACTGCATTAGCCGATCGATCGCACTTGAGCTGCATTTGAAGAGGAGGACCCTTGATTGTATAGGTAACTGTTAATCCATCCTCGTTAGATTGCGCTGAGAAATGAGGCTCTCCATGAGGCAACTGTGGACATACTACGTACTACCTAGTAGTAGGTACTCAGCCCAAGTTTTCGTGGCCCTCATCCTTGTATAATTGGATGAACTAGACTTGGCCAGACTTCGTCCTACAGTATTCACGTCTCGTCCCCTTTTTACCATGACGTACATAATAAAGTATTATGATCCGGCCCTAACCATGGACTTAAGACAGTTATGTTTGTTCTGTTATCTCTTAACCCTTGAGTTGATATGAATATAGCTTAGGCTGTGGTGAACTTTGCCCAAGTATAGCAGTTATGAAATAACAATGGTTGATTGCTTCAACGCTGACCTGTTCACAATTGTATTGCTTCCACTAGAGTCAACGGCCCTTGACCTGCTCGCAGGAAGCAATTGGCCTCATCCTAAACCAAAGGAACACTATCGTATACAGTACGTTAGAAATTTCAACGCAAATTGGCAAAAGTTCATTACACACAGCTCGCACCGATATCAAAGGAAATGGCATAGAATTTATTCCGAGGACGAGCAGATTAGATAGGAGCTGGCGAGGCTCAGTAAAGACTCTATATCGGAAAGCACGAGACGAAATAGTTACGCACAACATAATACAAGGAAAGCAAAGGAGTAAATAGGTACATCATCCATGAACATTTGACTCAACCAGGCGTATCAATGCAGTGTCGTCCGATATCATAAAAATTGCGCTTGAAGAATGCAGTGCTTTCTAGAGCCGGTCACAGGAACACATACTAGGATCTGTCCATCCAACAACAGAAACCCACAATTAGACACCTTGTTCCGGGTCTTCAGCTGACAGACTCCGATACCCACCACCACTGTGCATTCGGGACGGAGTCTCATACATGCGGTTATAGTTGATCACTTCGCCACCAAGCATAGCCGCGCCTGGTTCTCGTTTTCCAAAGTACGGAGCGGGGTCACACCAGAAATCTCGACAATTGGTGACAATGCCCCGCGAGAACGGGTTCTTCGGCCGGACAGCACGTGGGCCGTCACGCAATCCATCTCGCGCGGTAGCAAAGAACGTATCAATGCCAAGAAGAGACGACCATTGCTGCAAGCAACCATGTTTTCGATGGCGAGGAGCACCCCGGGCAAGTGCGGGATTCGGACCTTGACCAGAAGACGATAGACCGGCAGCATTGAGGGATGTTGTCCCAGCCGTTACTGCAGAGGCAAAAGCCCGCGAGCTAGGATAGCTTCGGTCAACCGAGTGCCCTCTCATGTTCTCATATGTGGTCTGATTACGAGAAATTTGGATCATCTGGACGGCAACAAGCATGGTGATCCAGACCAGCTGAATGCATACCCATAGATCGAGAACAAGAGTAAACGTATCACGGAGCACAAAGTCACAGAGAGTCTCATTGATGATGTTACACTGGGGCTGCACGGGTGCTGGCAAACTATTGATATCTAGTAATCATGGTTAGGCTGCTTATGCGACTGAAGAAGAAAGTGAAAACTTACAATTAAAGGTTAGCTGCAGGAAAAGGACAATACCAACCTCCAAGCAGGCAATATATAGAACAAAATGGCGTAGGTTATTGGCTCCGACGCAATTATCAATCCAGGGACAATGGCTAATTGGCTTTAGCACGTGACTTGCACAAGCTTCCAAGTAAATACTCACTGGTCATGTTTCGCAACGCAGCGCCCGCAGCGTTTGCAATGCTTGCTTCGCAAGGGCCGTCGGACCATGCAGCTAACACAGAAATTTTCTTCGTCGAACTTCCACTGTTCGAAGAGCTCCGTAATGACTGCTCTTTGTTGGTTTCTACTGTCGAGTTTTGGAACGAACCCAGGGTCTTCAACCATCGAGTATATGTAAAAATAAGTTGTCAGGAAGAAAAATATAGCAAAAAGCACGTTAAGTATCGGAGATGTAGAGTAAGTCACTAGGAATTCATCAATGTTTAGTAAGACTTTCCCCACGGGGTAATCGAGAGCTCTTAACACAAGACATACCGGGCAGTACGTAAAAGACGTATCTGAAGCCCACCCAGAATAGGGTGCCCGCAAAAACGCCAGATAAATAAGGCTAATTTGCAAATCAGTAACGGAACAATAGCCTTTAAGGCAGGCTAAACTTACCGTTTTTTGCAGAATCCGATATTCGGAAGGACCTTGGCTGGCGGCCTTCTGCGCTACCCATTGTAGCCCAAAGACAGTCACAAGCATCATAGGAATAGCAGCGTATACCACCATATTGCTCAGTATCCACACGGCGACGAAAACAATGGCGAAAGGCCAGAGGAAAAAGAACTTGGACATTAAGTTCTTGTTACGTGCCCAAGAAGTTAATCCAGAAGAGAAAACCTTCGCGTTCCCATCGAAGTCATAACCATATTCATCCAAAGCACGATACCACACGCGCGTGGTATTCATCTCCCCCGCCACAACTGCCGGCGTTTTACCATCCCTGGTCTTTGCAAATTTATCCGCGCCATACTCGATCAATTTTAGGACACAGGGCAAGGACCCTTTCACGAGAGCCCAATGGAGGGGAGTAAGCCCACTGTCGTCGACAGCATTGGCATTAGCGCCCCATCGCAGGAATAAATCCACCAAGGCAGGGTACCCTTTGTAAGCGGCCCACATCAAGCCCGTATGCCCTTGTTGGTCGACGACGTCCACTGGTATTTCCTGATGCAGAAGTAGCACCAGTAAGAAGGCATTTCCATCTATAGTAGCCAGGTGAAGAATATTGTAGCCTTGGACGTCGGTAAGGAGGGGGTCAGCGCCCTGTTGAAGCAGAAGGTGGACGATATAGTAGTGACACCGTTGAGCCGCCCACATCGCTGGTGTAGCTACAGATTCGCCTCCTTTGGCATTGACGTCGGCGCCGGAGTCTAGCAGGAACTTGCACATGGCATACTGATTGTTGATCGCAGCCCACTAGAAGCGGAGTCATCCGGTCAGTAAATGTTCTAACTGCTGATACCATATGCATGAAAGGTACCGAACATGACCAAGATACGCACGTGTAATGGGGTGATCCCTTCCTCATCCTTATGGTTGGCGCTGAACTTCCTCTCGTCGAATAATCTTTGCATAGCAGAAACCTCCCCTATCCGGGCAATCTGCATGATATCTTCACCAAGAGGGATTGACCCCCTCACAGCTCCACGCTCTGAATTCATTGTCTTGAGCTCAACACTGGCATCTTCCAGGGTAACCTTCGGGGGGATGGCTTGGCCTTTGCCGCCGAGTGCGGAGGGTGGACTTGAGCTCAGTGTTGCAAAACTGCCGTTGGTGTGCGTTTCCGTTGAAGAATTCCCGGAGGACATTTCTGTCTATGATCCCGGGAAGAACTTTCCAAGAGGGGAGGGCGCCTGTAATGGTCCTTGAGGGTGGAAGAAAGTGTGACAAACTAAACTGTACACGGGGAGACTCGTTTGGCGGTGACACGTTCTCGATCTAAAGAAGCATTGCTGAATCAAAATAAACAGACAGCCCTTTGAATCGACAAATCCGCGCAGGGAGATGCGATAATCTGTGATGCAAGAACCGGAGATTGTGAGGAGGAGAAAAAAGGAAACCGAGAGAATATACTAGGGACTTAAAGGGTGAGGCTACTTCTTTTTCTTGGGTCGGGGGAAAACTCTCCGCGGACACTAAGAGATCGCCGGCTCGCAGTTGAATCAGTAGTTTATGAAAGTAATTGACCGTTATTCACTCGACTATTAATATTTTCGACCCTCAGCAACACTCAGAAATAACCATTTCATTCTCTATCCATTAATGAACGGTCTAAAACTGTGTAGAGTTGGTTTTGAACCCATTAACTAGCTAGATATAACAAAACCGGATTACTCAGCCGTCAGATATGGTGGAAAGAAAAACGATATTGGTTGAATTAGGCAGCCACATTGTGATGCTACCTGGATCAATGTGTATCGCATGGAATATTCGCATAGGTTGACCATACAACATAAAAGAGACAGAAGAGAGGAGATACCATGGACATCCTGAAAGCCATCAGCCTACATACAGTAAACAGCAAATTTCATACATGGAGTTGGTGGCATTATCTTGACCACAGGCGAAAGTAGTATATTAACTGGCAACATCACTGTGATAGCCAGCATTCTCCACGAGAGCCCTTGCCTGATTGGTGAGCATATAAAGATCGACTCGCAACTCAAAATCAACCAGAAAGCAAAAGCTAATCTCGAGCTTCGAAAGTTCGCGTTCAGTCACTCCACCAACCTTCGCAATACGGCTATGAGGATAACTAAGATCTTCCAGCGTTTTCATGGCTACTCGAAGACCAGCAAGGACTAGACGATGCATGTTCCTATGGTTCAGTGATATAGTTCTCTCAACAGTCACCATTCGGGTAAGGTACATGCTTGTAGCGAGATAGACGGCTGTTGACATTGGGCAGTAGCGATGAAGCCGTAGGAGGTAGTCTTTTAATGTGATCGAAGGCACGCGCTTTGAGAGAAATCTTTTGGAAAGTATGCCCAATTGGATAAGATCGCGTCCTGCATCATTATAGCCTGCAGGGTAGCAATGTATCTCGGTGCCGCCTACGGGGGTGGCTTCCCCACTGGACACGCTATCACCTGGAGCCCTGTCCTTGGCTAGGGACGAAGCATCTACCCGGCAGTCGTCCAGTTCGTCAATAGTCTGCTTAACAAGCAGCTCGATATAAACGCAGAGTAGTCTTAATGCCGAAACCGGTGGCATTTGATCGATAAAGTCGCTCTTCAAGGCACCTTCCTTGTCCTCTCTCGCGGGTTCCAGATCGGATTGTGCCCACCGGGAAACTACGTCCGACTGCGGATCATGAGGTCCTTCATCCTCGGAGCTGTACCCCGTCATTGCGACAAGCCGTAGACTTTTGATAGAATGAATGTAGTAGCGCGGAACGACACACCTGGCCTACAGGTGTATACCAAGCAGTCGGATGGGCGTGCATTGTGGGACTAAGCCCAAGTTACCAACATTCCTATGCCGATACTGGCTGAGTTGAGTGGTAAAAGATGGCACGCAGGTGTCTAGGGAAACAAGTGAGGAGGGGTAAGATCGAGTATATTCAAGCCACGTAGGTGGGGTGTGATAAGAGAAAAACATGTATAGGCGTGAAACATTAACATAACCAACCCATCCACAAGGTTTTGTTTAATGCATGGGCAATCTCCCTGTTGCGGGCGCTCAGTAGTCCGGTTTATCTGAGGTTTATTTCATGAATGCCCAAATATTCTAGACCTTCGAGGTAATCGAAGTATCTGGCTGGGAGAGACGTGTGGTACAGAATGAGGGAGTTTGACTGATACGTACATACATCCCAGGATTAAAGGTAAAAATCACATGATAAACGGCTCTCGCTTGTTCTTGTACTTAAAGTTACTGGGTTCAAAGCCTGGAGACCCTGCCGACCATCTAGACCCGCCTAAGCTTTGAGGTAAAACGATGGAAAACCTGACACCCGCCCAAACCCAAACATAAAGTGAAACTTCACATTGATTGGACATTCAAACACTTCCAGACCACCCAACATACACAGTTTCCAATCCATCTCAGCACGCCGTAGCATAATGATTAAAATAGCCCTCGTCAATAGCAGCCATATTGTCGGCTGCCCCTATTATAGATTATCCGGTCGTCAGATCGTCGGGTATAACGGCGCCAGCCACCTTGCGACTTCATGTCGCACAGCAAATCCTCCCGGCTATGTCGCCTCCACGCTTCTTTGCGTATACGCTCCGCTGCTTCTGACATTTGACGATTACCAACGTGGATAATACGAGGCCGAGCACGCTCACCAGATGCACTCGTTCTTCGACAACGTCCCATTAATGGCCTTTCTGGTGAACTACGGCGGCAGGTCGCGCGATAGTTACTTTCAGGACCCCTGATGGAGGGACCGTGGCGAGGAGGTCTAGCGTGGTAACGCTCTTGTTCTCTGACTCTAGTATCTCTGGCTCTGTTGGTGTTCTTGACGTACTCTACGTCGCTAGCGAAACGCACTTTTCGGCGGTCCGGACTGCGGACCCGCTCTTCACAGGGACTAGCACGATGATGGTTATGGATTTCAACGATCCTGGCTTCTCGTCTAGGGTGTTCGTGTCGAGAGATCGGCGTCGTGTCTCTCGGTTGGTGAGGGCCCCCGGACGGCCGCCGTGATCGAGGGTAGTGAGGAGAGACATCAGCCCCATCTACTTCAATATCTGATCCGAAACAGACCTTTGTTGGGGACCGAAATAGTCGTGTCTTTGGAGGAGGGGATTGCAGAGTCCTCCGTTGTGCCCCCCTTTCGTTTTCAGGCTTTCCGGCAACAAACATCTGACGGGATCGGTGGCGCCCTCTTGGACTACATACACTTTCCCTATCGGAGTCTATGCTAACTTCATCAGAGCTTGACTCCCACTCCACGTCCGATTCAGTTTCTGAATCTTGGTCTGATTCTGCAGTCCTGTCAAGGAACGGGAAGCGAAATTTTAGTGGCCGGCTTCGCAATGGCGATGATGTTCTTATGAAAATGTCCGAGGGCACTTTTGCCTCCCTGGGCTTTCTCGGCTCGATGATTTTGTATCGAGGGAGATCCATCATACGTGGACTCTTCGGCTGGGCATGCCGAATATAGAGGACCGCGGGGTCCCGTGTTAGAGAATGGCCGCAAGTGCCTGTGCCAAAGACACGGGTCCGAATGATTTTTTTGGTTCGAATTTCCATCGGGCAAGCTTACCAGTCTTTTAGAAAAACGCGCCTTGGTACTTTGGGGGCAAAATAAAACGCTGAAGGACTCAAATATGGCCACAGGATGGGGTGCGGAGTGGTAGTGGACAGCGGAGACAACTTCTGGCCTTAGGTGAGCTAGGAACGCTAAATATAATGACCCTAAGGTCCTTTGAGCACAAACATCGACTCTAATGAATAGACACCCTTGGGACAAAAGACATATGAAAAGAAGAACTGGATGCTGCATATCCTGGGTCCTGATTAGGAAGATAGGTAATGTCTACCGTCTTGTGCTTTCCTTGCAAGTCAAGTGAACAAGCAACCCAACAACGTCATGAACGAGAGATCAGTGACTAGAGTCATGGGTTCTACACTCCTGATTATTGGGCGCATGTCATTTTGGGGAGCAAAGAGGGGAGGATAACGAGGAATGATAAATATAGATATACATAAAGGGCGCTGACATTTGGAGGTCTTTGTATAGATAAAACGATGAACGGCGCCCTTTTCCTGCTGCCCACGAAACATCACAAGGGAACAAAGGAGGCAAAACGCTACTCATAGCCGAAATACTAAGGTGAAGTGTAAGAGGCAGCTCACATCGGAACATAAGATGGAATTAGCGCCACTAGAAAGGAAATGCTGCTGCCAAATCGTCGATCGAAAGTTTCGTACTAGTGGTAATATCTTGCCGCGTAACATATCTATCAATCGAGGCTACAGTTACTAAATTTCCTATACCAACACTATGCATGGGGGGCAAAGATGAGGCAATTAAATTCATGGTGGTCATTGTGGCCATCATAGGTACGGGTAGTTAACAGTCACAGGACATATTCCAAGTCAGGCGGGCAGGTAAGGCAGAGAAAAGCAAAAGGAAGAGACGATAATAATCATGAGTAAAGAGAGAAAAAAATTCGTCTAGAGAAGAGATTACATCACGCAAATTTTCTGGGTACTTCCCATCCTTCTTTATTCTTTTGTGATAGGTTGCCGATATGAGAGGACTTCCATGCACAGGGGCTGCGGCAACGCCAATACTACTAGTACTGTATTATAGACATTTATATATGCATGACGTGCAGCCAGTGAACTCACGGGCATCTAAGGCACCCATCAGTATTCTAGGTACACCATGTGGACAATAGCCGCGTGATTTATTATGTGGCACAGGATTATATCATAAATTGCCTTATTACCAGCCACATGGAGAGGCGCAGTTCATTGTCTTGAATGATATTCACAATACTTTCCGGCCAGTTTAGTCTATCTTTTTTCAGCCTTTTCTTTAAATCCAATGAATTAAAAAAAGTTTTACACAAGAAAAGAAACGAAAAGAAAATGAAAGAGAACAAGGAAAGATAAACCAAAGACAGCCATTGGCACCTGCAAGGCTCTGCAACATTCCATCTCATAGTCATTACCATACACGTTTCTTATGCGAGGCTGTGGTAGAACTGAACGCTTTATGTCAACCCCCACTTTTCAACAAACGTCTCTCGATTCCTATCACGTTGGAAAACTACGCCCAGGTCCAGCATTTCAACCCCGTTTTGTACATGCTCTAGTTTTAGTTGAAGGTCAGAGAGCTCGGCCTCATGAATGTCATTCGTGAGCAAAGTCTTCATGCGTGAATTGACATTTAAGGAGGACGAAAGAAGCCGGGTTGCTTGATCACTCGAGATCATTTCGGTCATCAGTGGTACATCTGCAGCAATGCCGTAATTCTGCAGACAGTCGAACATGTGATGTCTCGCGTCAAAAAGCACATCAATGCCCATAATTTCTTCCTCGGGTTGGAACGCCGACTCGGAAAATAAGCCTGTGCGGCGCAAGACAGCGGCGAGGCCATGCGACTCAGAAAGTGAATCGATGCGTTTCACAGGAGGCGTGGATGCCAACGTTGGTTGAATCGAACTTCTCCTAAAATCCTCTCGTCTTGGTACAGATATTTCATGAAACTGATTCCCTACTTTGGCTCGATATGTAGCATTCAAAGTTTCGAGAGTCCCGCAGAATGACTCGCGATCTTGCAGGGATTTGGTGAGACGTTCCGTGGATAATGTCATAGCGGCGACCAGGTCTAAGATCTACTCCTGTTTAGTCAACGCAACTGTGGTCAAGGGTCGACTTACATAGTTGAGTTTCTTGTGGGAAGCAACGTGCAACTGGTTGTGATGGTTTTGGAGCGCGCGTGACACAGGTGCGGTGTACTGTTGCTTCGTATACATCTCAGCCAGAAGGTCAATCTCTGGATACAGCGACTCCAGTTCTTCTTCCAGTGCGACCGAAACTTCATCAACAGCATCATTAAGCTTCTGCTTGGCCTTGAATTGGCCGGCTCGGATGTTCTCCAAGTAAACTCGATCGAGCCGACATTGTATTTCTTCTCCAAGACATTGGGCAAGTATCGTGCTCAACTCGGAGGTCCGTTTCACTACAGAGGCGTCATCTCCAGTAGGTCCTATACCGGATCCAAGCCGCTCTAGATCTGCTAGTACTCTATTGTCCTCCTTTAGCCAAGCTGCGAGAGTTGACAATATCCTTTTACTATCCACCGCTGTGTTCTCTGATTCGATTTTCAAACCCGCTTTCACTTCCTGAGCCAATTCAATAGACTGCAGGTATATAAATCAGCAGGGTATCTTGATTTAAGATCGAGGGCGATCAGTACCGCGGCACTCGTGCTTTGTCTTTCCGATCTGCATCTCTGACGCAGGTGTTCTATGCCAATATTGCGTCTGACTTGTTGCTCACCTTCTATACGAAGCCCTTTGTCTCTATTGTCGCATTGGGATACTAAAATCTGTTTTTGTTTCTGGATCACAGCGGTTGAAGCGTTCAGCGAGTCAATCGCCCTCCGAATGTCTTCATCGAGAAACGGTCGGTCCGCATTTGTATCGGGGTTATGAATAATATTCTGTAAAGAGCCGGTCCTTTCGAGTTTTGTATACCTATTTGTATAGCCAATACTTAGCATGCTAATCTTTGACTACGCCTAAATATATTGAAGGAAGTTGCAGACACACAAAGTGAGCTCCTCTTGGGACAAAAGAGTGTCGTGGTTCAGGTACTTCATCACCCATTTTTCGTTCTCGGCAGCTTCCTTCTCGTCGGTAAAAGCTGCTTCAACCTCAGCATATTTCAATGGAATACCACGATCTTTTAAGGCGATGATCAGAGTATTCGCTTGCTCGTTTGACTGACTCATTTTTGGGTTTGGTGTGTTAGTTTGTTTGGGCAGGGAGGTCGGGAACGATGCCGTCACCGCTTTTTATTATCAAGCATAAATTAACTAAACGATTTATCTGTACATGCTCAACTACATGACCTTTCAAGGTACCTTCAACTGTCCACTCGTAGAATTAACCTAATGCATTATCATTCATTAGAATTTATTGTTACATCTATACAAGTTGTGTGGCATAAAATTGACCCCCTAGAAGATGCGCAGCGCCTCCTCACTCCAAATAAATTACTTCTCACAAAGGTCGCAAACAAATTTAGTTCATTATGAACATCTGCACGGTCATGCTTCATGGTGGGTGGATGCCCCCTCAGCCTCGATTTGGGGGTAATACCATGTAGTGACCGCAATGATCACATATATAAGCACACAAAGGCCACCCTCGAGCCAGTTGGACTTGCCGTCCCGTAAGAAATTTCCGACGACCAAGATGGATAATACTACCAAGACAATCATAAAGATCTCAAAGTTAAGACCCATTTCCTTATCAAGCCCCCAGCCGACGAGGACCACAAGTGGAGCATTTAGCAAAGTGGTCTGAATAGATGGTCCGAGACAGTGGAAGAGTGCAAAGTTAATTTGGTTATCCCTGCGCAGAGTCAGACGATAATGACCTTAATAAATATGCGAGTGTAGTATTGTACTTACCAGGCTTCATCTATAGCAGTCAAATGCTCCGCTGCTTTCTCTACCAGGGGAACAAGAATTAGGCCCATAAAATTATCGGAAACGCCTCTTTCATGGACAATATGTTCAATCTCCTGGACCAAGAAAACGGCGGACAGGCAGACACATGTGAGAGATACAGAGATGGCCACGAAGCATTCGACTAGCGTAAGCTTTGCGCGCTTCATTTCCTCTTCCCGATCCTCATCCTTATGTTCATCTAGTTCAAGGACCTCGTCGAATATGCTGTGATGGCTATGCAGGTTGTAAACCAGGTACCTGAGAATGGAAGTGAGTATGGTGGTATGTCACGACGCTTGACTTTGCGAACTCACATCAGAAAAGCGACTAGGAGGATAACTGCGGTGGCCCTGCTGATCACCAAGGTAGAATGAGACAGGGCTTCTTCTGTAATGGTGGTCTTCGAGCTGTTTGCGCTCAGAGCCGAAAAGAAAGCACTCGGAATCAGGAGACCGAAGCCGGCAACTAGGAGGAGCCCAGTGCCCACTTCACTCACGGCCTCGTGGAACGACTGATGCTCACGCCCTATGCCTCCAAAGAAAAAGCACAGGCCTAGACAAAGCAAAAGATTCGCCAATACGGAACCGAGGATCGCTGCCTGAATGACAGGAATCAGGGTACCGTTGTTATCATTATGTATCAGAACCATAAAGAGGACAATCTCTACCACCGAGCTCAACGTTGTCTCCAACAGAACCCCGAGAACCTTGGGTAACTTCTTTGCGAGCTCCCCTCCTGCGAACCCAAGCAAGTTTGCTGAGGGAACCATTGCAATATAGTTAAGAGCAAAGATCCAGATATGAAGATCGGGCCTAGCGAAGTGGATGACGATAGCCGCTGGAACAAACGGCCAGAGAATATTTACCAGCATTGACAGGGTACAAGTACTCTTGAAGCACACCCGGAAGAAGTGAATTGGGTGAATTCCGCTTCGCCCGCTCTCACCAGCTGTATCTATACGGAACAGTCTATTGCGGCGAAGGGAAGCCTTCTCATTGTGTGTAGGGAGTAGGGAACCATCGCGTGAGCCCGCCGGCTGGGCGATTCTTAACCCTTCGTTGCCCTGTCCCTTTTGCCGTGTAGCAGACAATTCCTCTATGCTACCCATGATCACCCGGAGCGCTAACTGCTTGTTTCAGACTAAGAGATATGATAGCAGTTGTGTCGGTGTTAGGCCTTTTGAGGAGATGTGTTTAACAAAAATGCCAGAGATTAGTAAACGAGGACGAGGAGAAGGAGAAGGGTTATTGAGATAATGGGGCAAAAACACGTCTAGGAAGAGATATATTGTAGCATGTTTAACAGATGCTCTTGGAACAAAAAGTGAAGAGCGAAATCAATGGGGGGAGAGAGGGATAACAAATTAGAAAACAAACACTAGTGTGGGTTGCACCCCAAGGCTGTTTTTAAGGTTTATGGAGCTGTGCTTCCTCAGGTTTCTTTTTCTTCTTTCCCCCTTTACCAGTCGATGCGGTGGGATGGCATCAAATTCCGTGGTCAAAGAAAGGAGCAGAGAAAATAAGTATATTAAGGTTTGTTGGACAAAAAGAAATATTGGTGTCACAAAAAAACACACACAACCCCTGGTGCTCGGGCAGCTTGGTAAGTACAGAGTACGTAGTTAAGAATCTCCAGAATTTTCATTTCAACACAAATTCAGAGCCCCCTAAGCTAGTATCTGCCGAAGGAGGCGCAGACGATGGATCGGTGGTCGATGTGGTGAGGCTTTTCTTGGCACGCCAATGGGTATGCATGCTATCGAATCACTGGATGAGATTTGGTGGCTCTCTGAGGGTCTGAAACCACTTGAATCGCCCCGTTGCAGCTAGACTACTAGTAGTTATATGCCCACGTCTACCACGTATTACGGAGTCATTCATGCTTATGTAGAAAGCGGACATTTAATTTCAGGAATAGGAGGACGTTCAGGTGATATACATAAGGTAAAATGTACTTGAGATGGACTGAAAAGTTGTATGTACAACGAGAGTCCCCCATTGAACTTTAAGTCGTCATGAGCTGAAGTGGAGGATGAATCCCTTATGGAGAAAATGGAGACCAAACAAAACTGACCATTGGGTGAGAAATAGTTACTCCACTCATAGGTGCCGATGCCCAGCCACGTATGTATACTGTGTAGAGTACGGAGTACTTACCGGCTTAAGACTGGGTAGAATTAAGGAGATATATACACCATCTCCCCTCTTCTTCTGTTTCTCTTCTCCACACAAGAAAAGCCAAGGGGCGAAAAAAAAAAAAAAAAAAAAAAAAAAAAAAAAAAAACTATGCAGTGGGCTGAGAAGCTTCTTGCGTTTCAAAAAAAAGAGGAGGAAAGGTGTATGGATTTGATTGTTACCTACTCAACCTAATTCAAACAGCAAAGGAAAACCCGCGATTTCCAATTTATTCTAACTTCAGGTGGCCTGCCATGTAGGCGGACAAACATCTAGGAGTGTAGCTTAATACTTTCTTTCCCTTTTCCACAATTTGCAGTATAGGATGGATTTAAAAGATTGAATATTGCTATGCATATGAATGTGTGAATAATATGACTATTTATCTGTATTCTACAAAGTCAGATTGATACCTAGTAAAAGTAGGGAGGGTCTGGACCAATCTTAATTTTAATCTTCTAATCAAGCATAAATGTGGTGGTAACGAATCACAATTGGTCACGCTGGACAGACCGAAATCTACCTACTACTAGTAGTAGGAGGGGTGAAGGAGACCAAAACAATCAACTATGAATAAACTGCTACTGTTAGATATGCGGCATACAAAATACGCTATACTCGCACCACAAGGTGTATTGTGAATTTGTCTTCAGTATCATTGGATCACAATGTATGTAGATAAATAATACAAATAGCATATCGTATAAGAGCCATTACAATATTAAAATGTGGCAACAACGGTTACCTTCGGGCGGGGTGTGTAACATCTTACGAGATTTTTTTCTTTCTCCTGTTGAACCCTTCCACCAATTTTTTACTCCTTCTCCCTTCCTTTTTTCGCCTTCCCCAATTTCTTTTCCTTCTTTTTGTTCTCCCCTTTCCCTTTGTCCTAATTTCGTTTGCTAGACATTGCTCAAATCCCCACCAAAATGTCTTGCATTACTACGCCAGCCGTACCTCCGGTGGCTCTTGACTCAATCACTCAGCACATTGGCAACACGCCCCTCGTGCGCCTGAATAGACTTCCACGTAGCCTTGGGATTGAGGCGACTGTCTATGCGAAATTGGAATACTTTAATGCTGGAGGGAGTGTGAAAGATAGGATTGCTCTGCGCATGATCGAGGAGGCCGAACGATCGGGGCGCATAAAGCCTGGTGACACTCTCATCGAACCCACTAGCGGTAATACGTAGGTCTATCAACAAGCTCATTGGTTCCTATATAATACCTTTTGCTAATCGCTAAATCAGTGGAATTGGTTTAGCGCTCGTCGGCGCTGTAAAGGGTAGGTAATCATCTGCTGAATGATACATACTGGATTATTAAATCTTTCTGGTGTATGATAGGATACAAGACCATAATTACCCTCCCGGAGAAGATGTCAGCTGAGAAGGTGGCCGTATTGAAAGCGTTGAATGCAACTATCATCCGTACTCCTAATGAAGCCGCGTACGATTCGCCGGAATCTCACATCGGTGTCGCCAAGCGTCTTGAGAAGGAACTCCCGAATGCGCATATCCTGGACCAATACGGGAACGAGAATAACCCGCTGGCCCACGAATTGGGTACAGCGGAAGAAGTCTGGACGCAGACCAAGGGTCAAATCAAGGCCATTGTCGCCGGTGCAGGAACTGGTGGAACAATCACTGGACTGTCCCGGGGCCTCAAGAAGCATAACCCCGATATCAAGGTTATTGCAGCTGACCCTCACGGTTCCATCTTAGCGTTGCCGTCCTCGTTAAACGAAGACCATGTAAACGAACCATACAAGGTCGAGGGAATTGGGTATGATTTCATTCCCCAAGTGCTCGACCAGCAGGCCGTGGACCAGTGGTACAAAACCGGAGATAAAGATTCATTCCAGTACGCTCGGCGGTTAATTGCTGAAGAGGGCCTCCTTGTAGGAGGAAGCAGTGGGAGCGCCATATCGGCTCTGGCGCAAGCGGCGAAGGACTACAACTTCGGGAAAGATGATGTGATTGTTGTCATTTTGCCTGACAGCATCAGAAGCTATTTAACTAAGGTCTCTGAATTTTCCATTGGTTGGTTGAGGATTATTGCGCTAACTAGTATCAGTTTGCTGACGACGACTGGCTTGCTGCTAATGGACTTTTGACATCGCCCCTGGTCGAAGCTGCGGACGTGCCCTCGACACTGCAGCCCCATGAACAAAGGGATGCCTTCGCTGGATCAAGGGTCAAGTCGCTGAGGTTAAAGCCCATCACAACTGTACAGTCGAATATCCCCTGTGAAACTGCCATCGAAATGATGCGAGATCGCGGATTCGACCAACTGCCCGTGCTTGCGCCTTCTGGCAAGAAGCTCGTAGGACTAGTGACTCTAGGGAATGTTCTCAGTCGACTCACTCACGGACGTGCTACTGGGAAGAGCCCTGTGTCTGATGTTATGTTTAACTTCAGTAAAATAACTGAGGTGGTCACTGACCCAAGAGATATGGGTTTGACTAGTTCCACGCCGGAAAAAGCGAATAGCTCGGAGCCCCGGATTAAAGACCGGAAATTTGTGGAGATCACTATGGATACACCGCTCAGCGTATTGAATCGGTTCTTCGAATGGAACAGTGCTGCGGTAGTTACTGAAAGAGACGAACATGGAGTGATGAGACCCGTGGCAGTTGCAACAAAGGTCGATCTACTTACATGGATGCTTCATCATAAGGACGAATCGGCCTAATACAGTGTTTCCTCGAGCTATGAATATCAGTATACTTGGAGTGCGAGACTGGAAATTGTCCATGCTCCATCTTCTTATGTACTTTGTTTTTCATTTTACGCTTCGTCATGCCAGGAAGTATAACGTCTATTCTATCATAAGTGGTGTCATTTATGCGACTAATAGGGGGGAACCTTACGGATAGAGAGTTCATTTTAACGGGGCAAAGTATTTAAGACCACTTACAATAACATTATATGCGGCCTAGAGTATCCTGATAAAAGTGGTGACTTCAATGGCAAAACTCTGGGCTTTATGTATGTCTGACGTATGCGTATCGAACCCCGGTATATTTCCCGCGGATCTAGCTTTTGATTTCCATAGCTAGCCCATCTCTACCTTATAAAATGGCTGGCTTTTTTACTTATCGGCAATTCTCCCTGGATGATACTCCATCCTTGACCAACAAAGTGGCCGTTGTAACAGTAAGTGTGAAGATCAGTCCACGCATGTAACTCGCTCTGTGTACCTTGGCTCGGGGGGTGAAAATCGCTGATCAGTCTATTATCTAGGGTGGTCAAGCAGGCGTAGGAAAGGGCAAGCAATGGCTTTTCCCATTATTTTGGCCCATCCACTAACTGCAGTTGCGGTGTCGATGTAGAAATCACCGCACAGCTACTTCTGCATAGGATTGAGAAGGTTTATGTGCTTGCCCGAAGCTATGATAAGTATCTACGCGCGCAGGAGGACTGGCAGCGACGTGCTGGTAGTTCCCTGGGGAAGGATGATACGAGAGTTCAGTTCATCCAATGTGACCTCGCCGATATAGTGGCTGCCAAGGATGCAGCCAATGAACTCAAGCAGAGAACTGACAGGCTTGATATCATGATATGCAATGCCGGTACATTTAGCACTTCACTGTTTTATTAGCACATCCCCAATTGACAGAGCTCACTTTGTCTCTGTACACACCCATATATAAGATTATTTGCTGATGTTCGAACCGCGGAAGCCATTGGTGTATCAACCAAGTATGAACGATCGCCACAGGGTATTGAACAGGTATTTGCTTCAAACTGCGTTGGCCATCAGGTGTTGGCAACCAATCTGCTGCCCATCATGAAGGGTACTATTACTCAAGGCAAGGCTAGCAATGGGCGAATTGTGGTAGCTAGTTCGTCTCTGCACTCATTATGCCGTGAGCTAAAACTCGACCTTCTCACCTCACCCACTCGTCCTAAGCTAGCATATATCGACGGTGTGTGGCGTTATGCTCGCGCTAAAGTAGGCAACATACTCTTTGTAAGGGAACTAAGCCTGCGGTTGATGCAAGAAGAGGATCCAGCCAGTAGCAAGATTTACGTTAATGCCTTTTTCCCAGGTAATATCGTTACCGATCAGTGGATTGTTTGGGATGAGTATGATGGAGGAGCCCTGGGTTCCCTGCTTAGGCGCCTATTCTCAATCATTGGTCAGAGTCTGGAAGATGGTGCTGCAAGTGCCATTTATTTGGCCGCGAGTCCAAAGGTGATATTAAACGGCACTCATGGTCAGTACTTCATTCCTGTTGCAAAGCCATGCGAGACAACTGCCATTGCTAGCGACTTAAAACTCTCTCGTGATCTTTGGGGAAGCCCTGGCCTTCCCTCCCATAATGAACGTTTCCTATTGCGCTCAGTGCGTTCCTTCCATGCTAGATCACTATTAACTTGGTGGTTTTTTCTACCTACAGGATTGGATAGAGGCCAAAGCAGCAGAGGCTCTAACCCCCGAAGAACAAGACCAAACCCGTACCGTCGATAATTAAAGATCATTTTCTTTATCATTATAGCAGCATCCTGGGGTTAATGTCCAGGTGTGTTAGTCTCGTTTGTTCTTTTAGTTGTGTAACATCGAAGCCGTTCGCACATTTCAGATCGAGTGTATGTTGTAAAGTCGTAACTAAGGCGCACAATTTCGGTCACAGACACTGACCAACCCATTCTTCCCACTTCCTGACACCAGACCCAAGATCACTCCCCTCATCACCCTTAACAGCGCCACCGACGATATCAACTCTTACGCCGACTTCATCCTCCAAGCATTTAAAGCTGAATGTATTTTGCGCATCACTGCTACCCAGAATATCATCATCACCGTCACCCATGCTAGCATCAACGCTGGCATCCATGAGGCTCTTGCTCTTGGACTTGCGTATTTTGTCGATTTCAGCTTCTAACTTCTCCCGCACAGAACCAGGTGGCAGTGCGGTGAAAAGGTCTTGCTTGTTGGCAGCTACAAGGATGGGGATCTCTGAGGCCACCTTAAGAGACGACTTGCCTTTATTCAACGCCCGTTTTTGAAGAATAAGAAGTACGTCGTACAGATATGAAGCTGTATCGCGCAACACTTCAACATCAGAAAGAGCAGCGGTGTCCACAGTGAATATGACCCCACGTAATTTGGACTTCGAGTCTTTCGAGTCTGACATGGAGGAAAGTTGCGAGATACCCTGGGGTCCCCGTAGTTTGCCATGACCAGGGGTATCTCTCACGCGGTATTTGACAGGGTTTTTGGATGTGTCCTTCAAGGATGGGTCATTGACCGACCGGTAGCGATTTGAGGCAGTGGGAACGGAGGCGGGAAGGCTGACGGTGGTGAGATTAGACGTCTGAGAAGTATGCGTTCGCTGAGTCTGCTTCTTTGCAAGAGGCGACGATTTCGTTTCAAGCTGTCAAAGTCCCAGGATAACGTGTCAGCATCCGTTTTCACCACCCATACGTCTTTCGAGCTGCATAGGCTTGCTTACCAGGGACAAGAGAGCAGTTTTGCCTGCCCCGCTGGGTCCAAGCAGTAAGAAGTTGCTAGATGGCGGGGAAGCAACAGCTTGATAGAAAATCAAATGTAGCAGAACTGGCAATCCGAATGCAATAAATGCGGTAATGGCGATAGCGATAGGATTTCCATCGAGCAGACTAGTAGCAATGCCGCCGACTGATCTCCAATCTGCGTGACTCCCCATCTCAGCGGATAGGATGGATGATGGGAATGACCTGAGAAGACGGGTGAGAAATAACCAGATAGTAGAGAGCTAAGCTAGAATGATGGATTAATGGTCGTCACACTAGTAAATTAATGTCACTTTTCGGAGGTTAGCTAACATAGGTAGGCTAGCTCGTCAAATTATTTACCGGCTGCTGCAGACATTATCCCGCACATCAGGCCACCGCCCGTGGAGTGGAGTTTGGCCAGTGCCTGCAAAAGTATTATAATTGTGTTTAGGTACGGAGTAGATTCTTCTTTTAAAACATGGAAATGCAGTTTTACCACCTGTACGGAGTATAGTACAATACATGCAATAATAGTATCATGTATGTACCATGTAAGTGAGTACTGTAATGTACTGTACTATGTTAAAGTTTATATGTATGTACATACATGTACATTACAATACGTGGTCTCCCGCGATCGAGCCTTGAAATTCAATTAATCCAACCTGGTCAATCTCACATACCTCCGGTTTGCAGGGATGGCGGTAGGGTTAGTGATCTGGTGGTAATTGTCGTACGCGAGACCAAGAGCAGGCTTTCTTTATTTCTTTCATTCGCTCATTCTTCCTGTCCATCCTTCGCTATTCCTTTGATGGTTCCCTGTTGCTCAGCCGCCCCAATCGAATGATATTAGAGTCCGTATCCAGTATGAGATTCATCCGCTCGTTACCTGTGGTCCTCCCTCTATTCTCGACAGCGCTGGCAGATGTCGAGTTCACAGCGCCAGCGCGTGGTACGATAATGAAGGCCGGGGATGTAGTAACAGCACACTGGAGGGACTCTGGCGAGTCTCCTCGAATTTCCGAACTTGTACAGTACGATCTTTATCTCTGTGCCGGCGGAGACACATTGGGATCCCAGGTGGGTTGTTAAAGCCTCGTCTCCATAAACCAGTGAACCTTTCACTGACCACGGGGGGCCGTATAGGAGAACCTGGCTGTTCTTATCAAAGACGGTGTTTTTGCCCGCGGCAACTCGGTTTCTTTTAAAATTGATCCAGCAGTTGGCGGCAACGAACCAAACGCATAGTAAGAATAAGGCCTACTTCCACAGCTCGCCAGCTCATCCTATTAACAATGGCTTTGATCTGCAGCTTCCTGAAAATGGTTGCATCCGGTCCCGACGCCCATGTAATCAATTTCTCCGATCGTTTCACGCTTACAGACATGGCCGGCGCTTTCTCGTCGAATTTGGACGATGGCATTGGTTCACTTAGCGAAGACCACGGGCAACATGAACCGCAGAAAAGGCAAGCAGCTGGAGCCTATACAATTCCATACCAACTGCAGACCGGGCCTACAAGATATGCGCCTATGGCAAAAAAACCTGGGTCAACAATCCCCACAGATAGGTCGCCAACTCCCCAATTTCCGACCAGCGCATACGAGATTGCCACCGCATACCTTTCTGCGCCTACAGTTCAGACTACAGTGTCTGCTTCTTTAACGTACTCCGTTTCCAGTATTGAGAACACTGTATGTATCGCAAGGCTTGATTCCTTAAGTCGACATTCTTGTAACTGACCAGTTGTATAGGCATCCCCTGCACCACATCCTCATGATAAGAAGATGAAAAGATTTCTGGAAAGGTGGAAGGATTGAATATCAACAATACAATAGAGTGACAGGGCCAGACCATTAGGGGCGTGACTATCTGGTTGTTCTTGTGATTTTGCATTGATTTGGGATTGGTCGGCTTTCCTGTGGCGTTGAGACTTGCGTTCGATGTCTGGCTTATATTTGATTTTCTATGTTTGGGTTGATTGAATGTGGTATTTCTATAATATCTGAGAACTGGAACGCTCATGGAAGCTCGTTACTCATCTATATACAGTGCTGTTGTAAGCATAAACCTTGAAAGATATCATGTATCATAATGTTATCCTAGGATATAAAATCGCCCTGATGGCACTATATGCAGGGTAAGAAGCCATAGTATGAAAGCTAGGCAGAGCGGTTAATTCATTTACCTAAACCAACGGTTGGCTACCGCAATGGAGGATCATCCTGTTGAAAGAAGGAGATATTTTCTCGAAGGGCGACATATTCACTATCTGCGTATCCAAGCAAAGTTTGAATTTGAGTACTCCTGTGCCCTTTGATGCGCTCGATTTCGAGGCTGCCGTAGTTGACCAGTGCACGCCCGACCTCTTTGGGCTCCTGGCCGTGGTGGAGAAAATCGCCATTCAATGAATCAGGGGAGAGCCTCTGTACTACAACCAAACGTACTGCTTCCTGTTGCGCAAAATGACCATCCACACCCACAACGCCTGCTGGTAGGAGACTGGCTTTCTTCTGGAGGGCACTGTATGCGCCGTAGTCAATGAATATGGTTCCATGGGGCTTCAGACCGTGGAGCAGCCAGAATGTCCTGGATTGAACCGGATGATCAGAAGGAAGGAAGCGTGTATGCAGAGGGGGTACTTCATTGACAGCTCCATTCATTGGTGTGGGTGCATTTTCTTCTTGCTTAACCTGCTGGAGATATTTTACAATCTCATGAACGTTTCCGGGTTTCGAGCTCTTGGTGATAATCGTCGTTACGCCAGCGCTAGTTCCTAATTTTGCAGCGACAATTTTAGTGCTCATACCCCCAGTCCCAAGGGACGACCCAGCTGAGGATACATCAGCCTCCAACGAGGATATATCTGAGACAACTTCGATGGGACTTGCATTTGGGTTGTGGCGTGGATTGGCAGTATACAGACAGTCAACATCCGTCATCAAAAATAGGTAGTCGGCCTTGACCATGGCAGCTGTTATGGCCGACAGTGTGTCGTTATCACCAAATTTGATTTCCTACATAAAGCGTATAATTAGGTTCCATCGTACTGACATAATTTTGGGCTGAGGCTTTACCGAAACAGCTATAGTATCGTTTTCATTGACGATAGGGATAACACCCATATCAAAAAGCTGTGAAAAAGTATTTTGGGCGTTGACATATTGTGTTCTCTTGGTATAAGTTAGACGTCGCTTACCATATCATTTATGAGCACTTAGGCCTTACATCTGCTATGTCATTCCTAGTCAAGAGAACCTGAGCCACAGGTAAACGAAGGTGCGAAAATAAACCATCCCAGAGGCTCATGAGTCTGCATTGTCCAACAGCCGCGAGTGCCTGGCAAATACTATGAGTGAATGTTCTTTGACTGACAGCACATATAATTGGCCATACCTGAATGCGAGGCAAACTCTTGGGTCTTTCTTCGACATCCATCCTCCGCAACCCCACTCCGACAGCCCCCGAGGAAACAAGAACAACATTGTGGCCATCCCGGCGAAGCTTGGCTGCAGTTTCAACTATCAGAGTGAGAATTGAAAGTATTGGCTCATGGGTGCTTTCATCTACTATGGAACTCGTCCCTGTTGGAAAATCATAAGTTGATATTCTCTAAAACTAGGTGCATTGTTAAGTTGGACTGATCCCCGCACCTAATTTGATAACGATTGTGAGACGTCGAGAGGCCATGGTAACTTGGGACCCCTAATATAGCCAAAGCCTAACATACAAGAGCACTTATCGTACACTGTATCCAAAAAATGAGATGCTGCTTCTAGGCTTTAGGCGCTTCTCTCTCCTGAAAGCCAAGCAAGGTCCGGAGTCGGAGTCACTCATGCGATTGCTATAAATATACTGCCAATTATTACCGCCAGGTTGTGCGGAGAGCATCGGCGAAACTCTCTTCCGCATGCTGAAGCTCAGCATGCGGAGACGTAGTGAGTTTGTTGGACTCAATTTGTTTCCTCCAAGATGCCAGGGTCACAACAGTCTACGACCTCAGAACCTCCAGTAAGTACTCATAGTACTGGGTTTCTACCAGGAGACGACACATGGACACAATGGCGCAATATCTTTGCAATCTTGACGGGGAAAATGTCAGATGAAGGGGTCGAACAGTTTCGTGTCGCGAGGGACATTCGAAATGAAGCCGCAGATTGCAAGCGTTGCGAGGACCAGCGTGATTACCTTCTGCAGTGGAGTGAGTTCTTATATCCCATTTCGAACGGCTTCTAGAAGACCCGATAGTTGCTAAAATGCTCGCACTTTAGGCCCTGTAATTCGTTATCTGAGCGATAACATTCGACAACTCGGAGGTGACCTATCTAGTCACAATATCTACTGTCGTCGGTGTACGAATAGGAAAGCGGGAGGCTTTGATCCGGACTTTGGGATCCTGCTTTGCGCAAATGAGATGAAAGACCAAGGACATCTCGAGGACACAATGGCTCACGAAATGGTCCATGCTTATGATCACTTGAGATTTAAAGTTAACTGGGCAGATAACTTGAGGCATGCAGCGTGTACTGAGGTACCAAAAACTGAGAATCCTTTACAGGGATTTTGCTGACTATAGTTCAGATACGGGCCAGCTCACTTAGTGGGGAATGCAGATGGGCGCGGGAGTTCTTTCGACGAGGTCAATGGCGATTCACACAACAACATCAGGAATGTGTCAAAAGAAGAGCGATCTTGTCGGTGCGGGCAAGGCCTGCATGCAAGGATGACGCTCACGCCGAGAGGGTTGTAAACGAAGTTTGGGATAGCTGCTTCAGAGACACTCGGCCGTTTGATGAAATTTACCGATGACACCACGTGGTCTCTAACCTACCTGATACTACTCCACTTGCTGTTCAATTTCTCAGTCCGAAACTTCCATGTATATTATGTTCCATGTAACCAGAGCGAAGATAACAATTAACACCATATTCGAGACTCCTTCATAAAAGCAAATGAACCCAAGGAACTCCATCAATCCAAAGTAAACTCCTTTGGGAGTTAAAAAGAAATCTCAGAACTCCAAAACCCCGCTGAAATGCATGGATAACGCCTCATACTTTACCTTCCTTTGAGGAGCCAGAACTTCTTTTCGTAACTCGGTCGTCTTTTAGACAGTGCTTAAGTATCCAAGGGTGTTTTTGGATTTCATCTAGAGAAATACGCTTCTCAGGATCAAGAACAAGTAACTATAAGGAGTAAGCATGTGAGGTGACATTCAGTTGCCTTCCAGAGGTTGAAACATACTCTTTTGATCAAGTCTTTTGCCTCGGGGCTCACAAAGGAAGGAACTGTCATGTCTGCTCGTGCAATCCGTCTTTGTGTCATGACAGGAGTATCCTCAAATGGAGCTTCTCCGACCAAAAATTCGTAAGTCAGCACACCTAAGCTCCACAAATCAACTTTTTCACTGTAGTAATTGTCCTGCGAGCCTGGCTTGAGCATCTCGGGTGGCAGATAATCAAGCGTTCCGCACATTGTCTGCCTCCTGTTGTTGGGTGCGTGGACACTCCACCCAAAGTCACTGATCTTGATTTCACCATGGATCCCGACGAGGATATTCTCTGGTTTTATGTCACGGTGCATGACATGTTTCTTATGCAGATATTTCAAAGCAGCAGCCATCTGGGCAATATACTGGGCAGCCTTCCACTCCGGAAATCGATGTTCTTTTCTCAGGTGTTTATACAGCTCTCCCCGGCCGGCAAATTCAAGGATCAGAAAAATTCGCTTGCTGTCTTGGAAGTGGCCATAGAGTCTTAAAACATTCGGGTGGCGCAAGTTGCTCTGGATTTCAATCTCCCTTCGGACCTGCTTTTGCACCCCACCCTGTTGCAATTCAGACTTGTGCAAGACCTTAAGAGCGCACACAAAACCGGATGATCGTTCCTTAGCTAGATAGACACGACCAAATTTACCCTTACCCAAGGGTTTCCCTATTTCAAACATTCCCAGATGTAGCTTCTTCGGTGCTGGTTGGTCGTAAAGCGATGGTTGGCGTTGGTCACCGTTTTCATCTACGTTGCGATGCGATAGTGTACCCTTGGCAGGGGATGAACTAACATTTATCGAATTGACCTTATTATCATTCGTATTCTGCAGAGCCAGCTTGAGCAGATTCGACCGATTGGCGCTATTGTTCAACTGTGCCGTGGTCCCAAGTCCAGACAGGGAGACAGCTGTTGACAGAGAGCCCTAATCACCAAGGTGAGTAAAGAAACACTTCATGCACTGTGCAGTGAAGCGGCAGCACTTACTTTATTCTTCGCATAGGTTCCACAGCTGTTGGTTGATACATTCTCATCCTTGACTGATAGATGTTCGAAGCGGCTTTCCAAGGTCTTCGTGGTCATGGCTAAAATGTCAAGGGGGGAGGGCGAGTAGTCTATAGGAAAGTAATGATTAAAGTATAGGAAGAAACAAAAAGGCAGCTGTGTAGCAATTGTGTGGTTTACATAGACATTATTGAGGCTGCAAGGTGCTGCTGTTGTCGACAAGGAATTTGAAGCGAATCAAATCAAGTATCCTGGGCTTTTCTGTTGATCACATCATGCTCCTCAGCATGTCACCACGGCAACGCCTCGGACTACCTCTTTCTCCGACACCGCGGGGTTAATCAATCCTCCGCAAATGGTGGCTTCGATAAGGAACCCCTGGGGTCAAGGCACTTCCTGCTATCTATTCATTCGCAATACTTGCTCAATATGTGTTCTAGCAGCTCTCGCGTGCCTGCATTCGCCATGGGGAATCCAGCTGCGGTATCCATCGCTGCTCAAAAACCTAACACCATTTCCGTGCAAGGCTTCAAGATCACTACAGAAAAGCGGCCGATACTAAAAGCTGAGCCGATTGACGACATGACAAAAAGGCTAGGAATTGCACCGCCAGAAATGATCTTCGGTGACAACTTTGTCACAATTCAGCATGAGAAAAGCCGCTGGGAAATCAACTTCAACGCGTATGACGCCCTGGATCGCGTGGACAAAACTGGTGCATCGATGCTCAAAGTCGCTTATTCGAAAGAGTGGCAGAGAAGCAGGTACTAAGGATCCTTTGCATAAGGACCCCTTGGCGATAGGTTATTAACTAGTACGCAGAGAAAAGACACATGAGGGCATCAAGGAGGTTGTAAAGCCCTTTGACTGGTCCTACACCACAGACTATACGGGCACCGTTCAGGCTAATGGTCGGTCATTTGAACCAACGACAAGATCCATCCCCTTAGAACTATTAAAACGACCGGATCCCATACTCTTTTTTGATGAGGTCATATTATACGAAGACGAACTCGCTGATAACGGCATCACTATGCTATCCTGTAAAATTCGCGTTATGCCAGCCAGGCTACTGTTACTATCGAGATTCTTCCTACGACTCGACAATGTTCTGTTTCGGCTTAGGGATACGAGGGTATATATCGACTTCGAGAACTTGGAGGTGATCAGAGAGTTCCAGTCCAAGGAATTAGACTATGAAACAGTTCGACAGGTATTTCCTTCCCGCCAATGGAATTCTAAAAGATAAAGAAGAGTGGATGGATAGAGGTTGCGCTGCATCGACCCGAGAAGGCTAATAGTTGCTTTACAGACTCTAGCGACAACGAGAGATGATGTTCCCGCCGCTATGCGTGACCCTAATAGGCTTTCGGAGATTCTTCCTCTTCGCGAAAAGCGTTTAGAACGAGTCACTCTAGGGGATTAGAAAAGGCAACTATGAGATGATAGTAAAATCCTATTTATCCTCAACATTGCGCACTTTCACATAGGGTGCGCCGGAAAGGACATAACAAGGACCAAAGGGACTATTATCTTAGCACTCTTTGACTAGCTCGGCCATCGCTGTCTCGTTTTACAACGGCCCTTACCAGGCAGGCCCTCTGTGACAGGATACTGTGACTCTTAGCACCACATATCAATTGTCAGACTTGCTTGTATCGGAGCTGGCTAATTGGATAGTACGCTAACTTCACATTGGTCTCAGCACCCTGCCGATCCTCTTCATGAAGGCATGCGATTCAAGCTACCTCAGATTCGACAATTTCATTTACCATGTCTATGATCAGGGGATGAATAGCGTCTCTATGATAATGTGGTCCATGCGTAATTGGACTCGACCATTTATTACTACCTACATAGAGGTTCTAGTAGCCGTATCCAATCAGGAAGAGTCGTGTTATCATTATACTGCAGCAAACAATGCAAACGCAGCTTACTCATCACCTGTACAAGATGGAGATTGGCAGACTCCGCAGGGCAACCCATAAATATTTGCGACTAACGCGTGAATCGGCCACGGTTTGATGCTCGGTTTTTCTCTATTAGATATGCCTCCCAAATTCATGTACACTGCAAGGTTGCGGGATCTTTGCTATCCCCGGTGCTCAGGACGTCAAGTACGTTCCCCCATCTAAGAACTGGAAGTCATCGTGCAGACAGACTAACAATTCCCAGGTAGCCGCAATTAGATCGTCTGTCTCGTCGCAACGTACAATATGCACAACGTCTTTTGCGCCCTATCAGGATTCCACTCCCAGCTCGGTGTTTCTCGTTCCCGCGCCCCTCGCAAACGGTCGCTATGGTCAACGTCACCCGCGAAATGTTTCTGTATTCCCCAGTCCTTATTTACCGACTCGCCGGGCTTCTTCGCGATTATCCCGAGTGATTATGCCCCGTCCCGGGACCACTGCTGAGACATACGTGGCGTATGGAATGACACAAAAACTTTTCGAGGCCTGCTCTAGTCAAGCAGATTACAGTATACCTCAGGCATCTCAAAAGGGCGCCCAAGTCCCTAAAACTGAAGCCGGCGAAGATCTCGGAGTTGGGAAAGGATGGTGGTATGAAGGTTTGTTTCCCTAATATTGACCGACCTTGATTAGTGAAAACTAATGCCCGTGGTCATTATCAGACCTAGGCCTCATACCAACCTTCTCAACTTGGTCTCAAATTACTTTTTTGCACATGTACCTTCTAACTGTCCGCTTGCGAGTCTTACCGTCGTACGAGAGCTTTCAGACTTATTCCCGACATCTGATTGACCACTTCTCGCATAATGCTGAGCACCGCATGGATGTCCTACATGGGTTCACTAGTCGTACAATCCGGAACAAGTTTCTCAAAGACCTCTTCATCCAGTGGAGAGGTGTTCTTGCGGCCTATGATGAGGGCCTTGTTAAAGGAGACGCCGTGCTAGGTGCCGCTATCTGGAGAAATTTATGGAAAGCAAACCATACCGGACCAGATGGGAAGGAGCTGGATTGGACGAAAATAGCTCTGGTCGTTGCATATATGCGGCGAGTAACTTCGGAGCTTTCTCAGGTAAGCGAGGCGGATCTCGTCTTTCAACTATGCCAGCGAACTGGCGATAAACCCAGTGTTTTCGGATACTCTGAACTCGATAAAAAACTAGTCCAAGGCAAGCGATAATTGGCTGAAGACCTCATTTGTAATAACCTTTTTCGCCCTCTTCTCTTCATCTGTTGTTTAAATGCAAATTTACCCTATCCGCAATAGTAAACTGTTTCATACCACATCTATGCATGTTACGTATAGGCAGTGAACATATGCTGATACAAGTAGATGCCGCGATACTTTGACTTTTGCTAAACTGCATAAGAGAGGCAGCCACCCACACACCCACACACATACATTGGACAAGCATAGAACCTCCTTAATTCGAAACCAAGCATAACTGTAGGGTCCACAGCCATAACAGACTCGAGCACAGACAATTAAGTAGGGGCTACTTCTCCAAGTCACCATCGAACCTACTCTTCCCTCTTTCCGAAGAGATCTTTCTCAACCATCGCGCGACAGATGGGATGATAGAAATCTTTATTCTTCTCAAAGGTCTCGATCGCAAGAGGGCGATTAACCTTTTGCAGGTTTCGGTACCTATATGGCGGGGTTAGCCTAGGGAATGGCTTGTAGTAGACAAGCTATACTTACAGAGGTCGCACAAATTTCATCCTACCAATTCTGCCTAATAGATCTGCCGTCGGTTTATACACGGTGTCGTCGCCGGCCTTTAACCCTACTTGGAAATAGAGATTGGCGACTTCAATGTTTTCACTCTTGGCGAGGCCGTAGACTTCACCCAGAATCCTCGACAGTTCAGGGGTAAGTGGCCGCTCGAACAGAAGAATTTGCTCCAAGAGGACCACGATTTGGTTTGCTGTCAGCCCCTCAATATCGCTTGCCTGAGGTTGAAAGGATGAGTTAGGAAGGGACTTCCATTTGCTAGATAGCTCGTAAACGACATCAACGAGGGACGTGTCGAATTGTGGCTTGGGGGGCAAGCCAGGGGCATAGAACCACGCATCCCAATCGACATTTTTCAAGAGATTGGAGGCTTCCAGATCATGCTGGAAGAATTCGAGCATAGTTGCCTTAAACTCATACGAATCGAGAGACCTTCCTTTGAACTTCGTAAAATACTAGAAGCATTTTAGCAAGCTGTCGTTCTAGACAGAAATGGGAAGGGGGCGCCTACATGAGGAATGAATAGGTCAAACTTGTCCTTCCCCATCAGATTTTCTAAGTAAAATAAGAAATTGAATCCCTTTTCGTACGGAATGCTTGAGAATGCATCGTCAGGGTCCTTCCCTTTAAGATCAGTGACTAACTTAGTAAACGGATGATCATGTCCAAAATGCTCCACAGAATCTGCAAGAGACTTCCAACCAATGATGGCTGAGAAATGTCGATAAGCTTCACCATGTCTGCATGCCAAATTAGCAATTTGATCCGTAGGACGCCAACGTTAGAACTCACACGGCAGCTAGGATCTTTTACATGGTCAGTATTTGTAAAATTGTCAGTGGTATCAAGTGGATTGACAGGGCTTGAGGGACAAACAAACTGACACGTCTCTCGAGATAAGTAGTCCAGCCTTCGTTCAGCCAGAAATGTTCCCATGAGGCATTGGTGACAAGATTACCACTCCAGCTATGTGCGAGTTCGTGAGCAATAACATCGACATTTTCCCTATCCTAGAAACCCGTGTCAGGAAATCACCGACAGGTGACACCGGTATATCTCGGGAAATACCTTTGAGATAATGCTGGGGGTCGCAAAGGTGAAGATTGGGTTTTCCATGCCTCCATATGGAAAGCTAGGGGGGAGGATCAGGACATTGTACTCGCCCCAAGCATACGGATAGACGATTCTCTGTATGCAGGTCAGGCTCTGGAGATAACATCCTTATATATCAAAATCGGGCGAACCTCAATTGCATGTATGAATTTTTCAGTGTCCGCTTCAAGCTCCCACTGGCATTCCCTGAGGTTGTCGGGACTGGTTGCAACGACACTCCGGGGCCCAATTGCAGCTTCCGAGATATCACTGTTATTAACCAGTCAGTCTATAACCCAAGCAGGCATTCTGAATCTCCATACCCACTAGCCAACGCGAACAGATAACTTGGGATAGGCAGCTTTTGGTGAAACTGATACAGAGTTTTACCGCTAGATTGGGCTTTTTCTTTATCGCCTCGAACAGGCAATCCACTAGCAACTACAGGAAGAGATGAAGTGATGTTGAAGTCAATAGTAGACTTGACATCTGGTGTATCCTGGCACGGGAAAATTGACCGCGCATGGATGGCCTGGCACTGAGAAACTATATGAGGGTAGCAAGTTAGAAAAGCCTAGCAGTTCCTTAATATCCCTACCCGTTGCAGGAGAGGAGCAAAGGTTAACTTACACATATATGGATGTTTCCTATTAGAAGTTTGGGCTGGTGTCAGCCACTGAAGGGCAGTGCACTTTTCGGTCGTCTTAACCGAGATCTAAATGCCCAGGTCAGATTCAACATGTTAGACGATACGCAAAGTGGTGGACGACTTACATCAACCTCGACCATCTCGTTCAATCGCACACCCTGGTCAAGCTTAATCTTCAATGCAGCTCCATACGGCTCCAGCGGGGGAAGGAGCTCCCAGCGAGAAGCTTGGCCGTCGACTTTCACATTACCGACATCCACGTGGTTCGTATCCAAGATGATTTCCGTAGATTTTGCGTCGGTGATGGACTTGAACTTATGAACAACATTCCCAACAAGCTTCTTCTGTTCGAATAGAATATCGAAATTTGCGGTTATATGAGTAGAGACCCAATTATTATAGTTACTCAGGGTGTTGGGATCCCGAGGTGAGTGGATAATAGTTGCCATGCTACGTCTCGAAGCCTGGGCGATCCAGGGAATTCGTCTGGTGACTCCAAAGAACAGTATGGGATAGCAGCTGTAAACAACAGAACCTCGAGGGAACCTAGATTGCCAGAGCTGAGACAGAGAAGTACGGATCATAGAACCCTTCCCCAATTCTCTGAGTGTGTGATGATTGAAATTAATGGGCGACACCGATTTCATTTAAAGTCATAGGCCAGGGTTCTTCAGTCGGATGTAGGTGGGGAACATCTTGTATTTCCATTACATAAACATACCTCTGGTAAATCATTGTACTCCGTAGGTGATGTACATACATATATTTGTATACATGATATGATGTACGTGTTAGGGTACATACCGTCGTACTGCCTATACATAGAAGGGATACTTTTCTCAAGACGTTAAGATGAATATATACAATAACTAGGCACTGTGCTATTACCACCACCAACAGTATAGCTAACCATGATCATAGTATAACCTTGCTTAGTAATCACCATACTGTGATTGTCTGTAGACGCTTAGAGTCGGTGATATTTGAAGCTTTGAGATCACGCAATGTCTGCTAAATCTCGAGATGATGGTAAGAGATTATAGCCTAAATGGCTTCCCTGTTCTCACTCCCCCTTCTTCTTCTCCTTCATCGCCTTTGAATTCACATGATCGACTGACCTGTAAAATCACTACACAGAGCTAGTCATGGTATAATAAATACTGGTATGTACATACTGATACGGATTCTGTACACTAGGTAAGTATTTTTTCTTCTCTTTTACATGATGTGACATTGTCTTCACCTTGAATAATGACTGACGCGTAAATCTAGATCTTTATGTATTTTCGAGGTATCTCTTAATCATTTCCATCGCTTCAAAGTTTAATCATCAACAGAAGTATTTGAAGTTCTATTAGTCAATACTTCCCAGTATTATTCTGACTGGCCTTCTCTCCTCGAATTATCATCTCCCTGAGAATTTTACCCTTCCTTCGATACCCTCTCTTTTGACTACCTAGGTTGTCAATGGATATTCCTCAAGTGCAGATTTCCGGGTTTGATAGCTCCCATGGTCCTGGGAACGCGCAAAAAGCGGAAACGCGCGACGTAGACATGGATTCGAGCCAACACGCGAATGATGCTATAACACAAGATGTGTCCTTATCAACTGGAATAACGGAGCTCCAGCCGAAAGAAGCGGCGCCTCCAAAAAGAAATCCTGGTCTTCAGTTTCTCGAGTAAGGCTACTATATTGTTACATCTGATGGCGCAACATCGTCATCCTTCCCTGTTCAAGGATCTTCAACTTATGCCGTTTAGATACTTAACGTCGCCTATTGTGGAACTTACTATAGGAAAAGGAGAAACCAAGACCACTTTAACAGCTCACCAAAAACTACTTCTGGAATCGCCCTTCCTTGCTGAGCGAGTCGCAGTATTTCATGGTTCGGGGCCTGTGGGTCAAATCAAAAGGGTTATAGAAGATCTTTTACCCTGATGCTAATATTCTATAGCGCCGCATTGAGCTTCCTGACGAAGATGTAGAGGCCTTTGGCTTTTTTCTCCAATTCCAATATACCCGCAACTATGCCAGCTCTCTCGCCGATGCCTCGAGTGACGAAGACGCAGCTGTAGGAGAAACCGATGATAGTGGTGAGCAACTACTGAAACACGCACGTGTATACACATTGGCAGATAAACTTGGAATACCAGCACTGAAAACCTTGGCCCACTCAAAGATTCACCGTGTGAACAGCACTTCACACGGTGAGATTGCCTATGCTCGATATGTCTACACCCACACCCCAGCCGACGATGCTACGATTCGGAAACCTGTAGCATCTTTCTGGGCTCTAAGAAGCCATGTTCTACGACATGAAGCTGAAGAGGAATTCAGGAAGCTGTGCCTTGAGGTTCCCGAGTTCTGTTTTGATGTATTTAGCATGGTACTTGACCATAAAGAAAAGCGCGCTCAAGATAAAGCTGAATCCGAGTCTGCTATCAAGGGGAGTGGAAGGAAACGGCTCAGGAGTGGTCTGTAGCTGGGCCCTGCAATCATCCTCAATCAAGGGCGCCGTCTAACAACCTGGTTTATAAATATTATTCACCAGGGCGGAGTTCGTATCCTTTCATTTTCTCTTCGTTTTCTTTCAAGAAAACACAATTATACCATGGTACTGCATATAACGTGTATTCAACTCAACACAACAACTTCACCAGTTGACTTCTAGCCAGCTAGGGTGGAGCCTGATAGCATGAAATGGAAGTATAGCTCTGGCATATAGATACTTCCAGATTAGAATGTATTCCAATATGGTTCACGGCCCACGTATGTATCGGCACTGTATATTTCATGATGATGATATTACCTACAAGGCCAAGCTTTCCATTTCCTCTATAGCTTTCGGCGCTGTGGTCAAATTTTCGTGGCCATCTTTAGTGATATAAATATTATCCTCGATACGAACACCTCCTACCGTCCAATACCGCTCCAAAACAGTGGTATTGATGTACTTCCCTAGCTCTGGGGATTGAGAATAGGGATCGATAATGAAGCGGCAGAAGTAGATCTATAAGAACACAGAGTTTAGCACACCAGGACATAATACGATAGTTGGAAATAGGCTGCATAGACTTACACCTGGTTCAACAGTGACAACGGAACCTGCAGGCAGACGGCCTCTGACACGGAGGTATTTGAACATGGTATCCTTGTCTCCATAGTTAGGGTTGCCCCCAGTGTCATGCGTATCCATTCCAAGATAGTGACCGAGGCCATGAGGGAAAAACGCTACGCTAATTCTCTTCTCGAATAGTTCATCCTCGGAGCCATTTAGAATCCCCAAAGCGAGCAAGCCCTTGATGGCAACACGGTGCGCATGCGCATGCACATCCTCCCATTGAACATCTCCTTTAAGCATTGAAATGCATTCTACCTGCATTTGTAGGACGATCTCATAAATCTGGCGGGTTTCTTTTGTAAATCTCCCGCCCAAGGGGAACACGCGTGTTATATCCGAGCAATATGCCCGGTACTCGCCTCCAGCGTCAATGAGAACATTGCTCTTCCTTTGCTTCGTTACAGGGTCCGTCAGGTCATCATCATTCTTGCCATAGTGAAGGGTGGCCCCGTTTGCACCGCAAGCAACGATGGGATGATAAGATTGCTCACGAGCACCATGAGCGATACACGTCGCGATAAACGCGCCTTCAATCTCACGCTCGTTTACAGCAGTCTTTGAGGCTTTTATGGCAGCAACATGTGCCTTGGCAGAGATATCATTAGCCTTTCTCAGAAGAGCGATCTCATATCCGTCTTTCACAATGCGCGCCTTTTCGATAGCTTCCTTCAGGACGGAAAGACTGGTTTCTGCAAATCCTTGAAATTCGGTTCCGCTAGAGACCTGATCTGCAATCGCGAAAGCTACGGCATTGCCACCATATGCTGAGCCAATAGAAAGAAGAGTGGCATTGATTTCAGTCGTTGCAAGCACACAGTCAACATCATAAAGCTTCATAGCCTCATCCGCGGAGAGGGGAAGCCCTGACCAGATTACCTCTTCCGCATCAATAGGAGGTATAAACAGAGTGAGTTTGTCAGCGTTAATGTCGTAGATCAAGTACGAATCTGGAAGCGAGCAACCTGATAAGTAGTAAAAGAAACGCCGTTGCCTGGTCGCCGGATATGGTGAGTTCACTAAGCCTATGGAGCAACGGTTCGGATAGAAAGGAGTGAATTAATGTTACCTGAATGGCATCGGTTCGTCATTATCCTCTATAAGACGAGTTTTCTGAGCTTCCAAGTAAATCACTCCAGGGGCACCATGCCCATGACGAGCCTGAAGAAGCTGGGCAACCCGGCGCGCATGGGATTTAGCCGGATATTTGCCTGCTAGTATATCATCCACAGTGGCCATGATTTACACTTGCGCAAATGAACGGGAGCTGCGCTAGGACTCACAAAAATAACGGAGGTGTAGAAGAGCCTGGCTTGCAGAGAGCCTTCAAGTGAACTTAGCAACTCTGGTGGGGTTTTATCTGTTTCGCTTGCGGGGCTTACTTCGCGTGACACCGCTTATCATCGGGTAAAGGCCAAGTCATTCGGCTTGGGTTCAGCTGGCGGCAGCAACATTGATATCATAGTTAACTATCGCAACTAACTTCAGCGTAGGGAATTATCTACTCCAATGTACTGCCTTGGCTACCAGGGACATCTTCAAATTCCATTTCCCATTTATCGACCTCAGCAAATTTCTTCGCCTGCAGCCTCAGCTCTTCACTCAGAAAATCGACCGACAGCGGCGACTCTGACAGTGAGGCGAACTCCAATGCATCCGAATCCAGCAGTGAAGATAATGGCGATGACATATCGGTCAGCTGGTTCTCTTCGCCGGTGACTGTGTGTATATGAGGCCTGGTGAAAGAGTTTGTTTCGTGATGATTCTCACGGACTTGATTTAGGGGTTTCGCAATCCTTGCGGAGCTCTTGGGCTTATCACCCTTGTTGACCACTATTCCAGCCCTTTGTTCATTCTCCCGTCGAGCTTCGGAGTATGGTTTTAGCTTTGACTTGGCAGTTCGCCTTCTGGTTGAGCAGTTCAATTCGTCATCATTCTGATCTGTAGTAGAAGTATCATCTCCACTTGAGTCACTTGCAAGTTCTAACTCAACCACGTTGCGACGTTCGCGGCGTTCACGGCACCGTTGGCGACGCCGAGGGAGGAGTCGGTCTTGTAGAGTTGCTGTGGGGATGGTAGTCGCCTCATTAGTCAGGTCTGAGTGCACCCTTGCGCCTTGTTTAATAGGATTCAATGGCCGCGCTGAGTCTGATGTGAAGGCTGGGGCAACGGGACTCGATAGGGGACTGCTGCTCAGAGGCGGTGCCATAGTCTGATTGAACGCTTCCAAAGACTCCAATGATTGGCCTAATTCCAGAGAGTCCTCGTTTCCGGTATGAGGCGACTTTCCTTTGCGAGTGTTCTCCGCTACGACTGGAGGCGACTGAGAGACCTGACATTCTTCGATAGACCGTTTCCGCTTGAATGACTCCACACTAGATGGCAATGAAGGCTGGGATGGAGATGGGGATACAGCTTGTCTAACTAGAAGCGATTTTCCTCGGGTAAGATTCAGGGGCGTGGACTCGTCCTCGGGGCTCAAGCCACCCAAAAAGTCGTCATCGTCCAAATCAGACGACCCATCCTCTGCTTGCATCATTTGCAGAATGCTCGCTTGCCGAGGTCGCCGTCTAAAGTTACTCAATATTGAGCTCTCGAAAGCAGGCGTTCCCGGTATCCTTGAACTCATGTCAACTTTCCGTCCAGCCATGGATAGAGTAGACGAGTAGCCCCGAGACCTCGTGGGTGGCCGGCTGCCTGTAGCACCTCGTTCCCCCATTGGAGAAGATTCGATCGCGTGTTCATTTTTTCTAGCCAGGGGTGTTTGATTTCTCGATTGTCGTAAAGTGTTTCCCTGTTGGGCACTGGATACCAGTTGTGAAGAAATCCCCTCGTCCTGGTTATCAGGTGCCGCCGGTGGCCTGGAAGTATTCGATGCGCTCACGTCACACTCGTTACTTGGCTCCGCCTTTCCCTTATGTATTGCGGACGCCTTTGTTGTTGTTAGCCGATTGCGTTTTGTTGGTGGACGAGGCATGCTTGTAGGGATTTCAGTTCTTCTTTACAGACGTTCCCGTAGCTTCAATCTAGGGCTTCCTTTTCCTTCACTTTACCTCCTTTTTCTTCTTTTCCTCCTCCTCTTCTTTTTTTCTTCTTCCTTGCTTTCTTATCTCTCTTCCGATATATTGAGTGGATATGCCAACCTCGAAATCGTGTAAACGGTGCACAGAAAGCGAAGTTGTAGTTAGAATGGGTTGTTGTATGTAACCCCTTCAAGTCGCGTCATTTGTTTTTTGAGGAATAGCGCGTCCCGCACGTGCTTCCTCCACTGCCGTTATGGCGCAGTATATACTCCGTACATGGTAACTGTGGGGATAGTTTTGGGTTCTAGTTCTTTTCTTTTTTTCCCTTTTCTTTTTTTTCTTTCTTTTGTGTTGTCTTCGCTTACATACATCTTAAGTACTGTCATTCCCAACTTTAGATACATCAAGACGTATAATTTACTACAAGCCGCAACCCCTCGCTTCGTTCGGTGGATTGAGCGGTTTAAATGCTAGATAGTTAACTAGTACCTATACTTAGTACTATCCTACGTTCTGCCTTGTAATATAAAGCCGTACAATAGTTATTAACGCTATATATTTATTCATCCAATCTCCATAGGCTGTATGTTCTCAGCAATTGGGTAATTCAAGTAGTTTAAGCAATTTATAGGGGCCACTCTATGAGAAGTCCGACTAACTATTAGATCACTTTCCCTAAGGCAAAGGGGAAAAATGCATACTTTATATTCTACGCCAACGCGCTGCGATGGTCTGTATCTCTCCTGCTCGTTCCTCGCAAGAGGTCCGAGCTTGCTGAGACAAAAAATACATGTTTTAAAAAAAGCTAATAGCCGGCGTAACGGCATATCCTGTATTATAACCATTATTAGCTGGAAAGCACAGTTCCCCGCTTTCCAGCCCTGATTGATCAGTCAATCTAATTAGAAAATGCCTATTCCGTAATACTTCTGGCCTGCCGACTGAACTAATTTAACCCCAGCATCCTGATAATTTAGTGCTCAGATGAACCTCTGTCCCTTGCGTTCGCCCAATGCAGTTATGAGACACTCTGCCGTTTATCTTGCATCAAATCCCGTGGGTTATGGTATTCCAGCTGCTACTTACTTCACTCGTCCCCCACACATACTGATGAAAACTCACAAACGGCAGACTTTGAAACCTGTCAAGTAGGATGTACCTGCTTTCAGAAGATCGACTGTTTCTGCTTCACATCCAATCCATGTTGTAATGTCTCAGTTTGAAGCCATGTCTCCTTCTCCCCAAAGAGACAGAGATGCTCAAGTCGATGCAGTCACCGGTGCGGCTGCTTCTGACGACTTGCAGTCGAGTAAGAAAAAGCGATCCAATTCTGATGTGGCCGAATATCCCCGAAGGCGCGCAACAATAGCTGTATGCTTCTCTCCCTCCGTTACCCTTCCTTTGCTATATCACCCTCCATTTCATTTTCACTACGTGGACATTCATTGATCATGGATAATGGCAAGCGTAATAGTGTCAGATATGCCGCCTGCGGAAAACAAAATGCAATGGGGCGCGCCCAAAGTGCCAGCTCTGTACGGATCTAGACACCGACTGCGTCTATAGAGAGCCTGGAATCAAGCTTGATGCCGGTGATAAACTGATCATTGAAAGGCTCAACCGCATCGAGGGACTCCTGCAATCAAGCATAGCAGCACATTACTCACTACCCTCAACGTCACCAGCAACCAGTAACGATACCAACATCGGTGGTGAAGATGCACCGGTTAAGACATCCAGCGTGGCTGTGATGCCCGTGAAAACGTCTGTTGCTGGACTAGCCTCTTGGGCTAACCCACCCACAAGTATCTCAACGATGCCAAAGGTACATACCACTCCTGCGTTACATCTGCTACAGTGGCCGTTGATTCGAGGATTGGTGGCTGGCCCCTATGACCCTCATACATTATTGCAACTAGAAATGGCTCGTGAGCCCCTTAAGATGAGATCCCCCAAGGAGTTGGACTTAACAAATGCAACGATATATATCAGGAATTTCTTTCGACGTGTCAATGTTTGGTACGCCTGCGTTAATCCATATACATGGTCTCGGTATTACAAAACTGCCGTGTCCATCGGCCTTCGAGAAGGACCTGAGAGCTGCCTGGTCCTTTTGGTATTGGCTCTTGGATGTGCTAGTCATCATGGGAGTATTTCCTCTGTCTCACCAGATAACGAGGCTCCAGGCCTGTCTTATTTTGCGGCAGCTTGGGACCTTCTCCCTATAGTAATGATGCGCAACTCTGTGCCTGCCGCACAGTGTATCATATTGGCATCAGCCTATTTATTCTACCTAGTCAGACCCCTAGAGGCCTGGACTCTTCTGTCAAATGCCAGTCTAAAATTACAGCTACTTTTTGGCAATCCATCTCGTGTTCCTCTTCAATGGAAGGAATTAAGTGTGCGAATATACTGGAACGCTCTGCTCTACGAAAGCGACTTGCTAGCGGAACTAGATCTACCACATTCAGGGATCGTGCACTTTGAAGAGCTAGTTGATCTTCCTGGGGGGTTCGAGGAGGAAGATGACGAAGATGACCAAGAGGCCGAGGACGAAAATGGTGAAATTTCATCTGAAAATGAGCCTGTTGGTCGCGACGAATTATGGTACTTCTTAGCAGAAATTGCATTGAGGAGATTGCTCAACCGTGTCAGCCACATGGTTTATCAAAAGGATAGCCCATTAACTCTTGGGACGCTTGGACCTATTGTTTCCGAGCTGGACTACCAACTCTCTCAGTGGTATGAGAGTCTGCCCCAACCTGTTCAGTTTCCTCTTTCCCGTACACCTGTATCAAACTCTGTCCAGACTGCTCTACGGCTTCGATATTTTGCATGCAGGACAATTATCTACCGACCATATATTTTGGCTGTGTTTGAAAACGAGCAGACATCTTCAGATCCAGTGGTAAAGGAATGCTGCCGGCGGTGTATAGAAGCCACAATACGCCAACTGGAGAATATAACAAGCCACCGCGAAGGTCATCTACCATATCTTTGGCAGGGAGCTTTGTCCATGGTGTCACAAACGCTGTTGATTATGGGGGCTACTATGTCTCCAACGCTTTCTGTCTTGCTGCCCCCTGCAGACCAAGTGGATGGGATGATATCAGAAGTAGTGGCAGAGGTTGAGAGATACGCTCACCTTGCCCCGAGTTTAAAACTATCAGCAGAAATTATTCGAGATGCAGAAAAACGACGGCAAATTTGTTTGAGGTCTACAGGGCAGTGAACCTAAACTATATTCATCATCTGCGTTCTCCCCCTTCCCCGGGCACAAGAGCAGTATCTTCCTCAATGTCAACAAGAATTTACGTGCAGGTAGATATGTATTGTATCAAACAAGTATGAGAATAGCATATATACAGCTCAGTAA